GTAGGATGGGTGGTATTTTTTTGTTTGTTGGTTGGTTTTGTGTGTGTTTTTTTTTATATTTTATTGATTTTTTACAGAGAGGAAGAGAGAGGGATAGAGTGTTAGAAACATCGATGAGAGAGAATCATCGATCAGCTGCCTCTTGCACACCTCCTACCGGGGATGTGCCCGCAACCAAAGTACATGCTCTTGACCGGAACCTGGGACCTTCCAGTCCGCAGGCTGACGCTCTATCCACTGAGCCAAACCGGTTTCGGCCAGTGGGATGGTTTTGTCTGCCTGGCCTGACCATGCTGCAGTGTGTGTTTCCTTGGCTGATTCTGGTGATATCCGAGACAAGCCCCTTTAAAAGCCCCAAAACAAGCCCCTTTAAAAGCCCACTCGCCCTCTCATTGTGGTGTGCTCTGCACTTTGCACAGAGCTTTTGGGTGCGTTGGTCCACGAGACTATCCACGAGTGCCCGATGCCACCCCTGGTCTGTCTGGGAGCAGTCAGAGCAGAGGCCAGAATGTGGCTCACTCTTGAACTGCTGCCGGTCCTCTCCTCCCTGTCCACATCCCCCAAAGCTGCAGAATGTGCTGTTGGAAACAGGACCCGCCCTTCACATCACACACATTAAACTTCTCCGGGTTAGAGGCCAGGACTAAGTGCTCACTTTCAAAATGTTCGTTGGTATAGCAGGGGAGAAAAAGACCTGTAGCAGAATAGGAACATTAAGTTGCCATGGGTGTGTGCAGTGTATACTTACACATTTCTAGGCGGTAGATTAGAGATGAAATCTATCCCTAAGATTTTTTTTTATTCCACATTGCCATTTACAAGAGGTTTTCTACAGTGATTCCTTTGTAATCAGGAAAAAGATTTTAAAAATCAAGTGAGCATGATAATCGGCTAGCCCCGAGCTCCCCGGTCCCTCAGCACGTTTGGCTGCATCAGACAGATGAGATTGGAGAGGACCAGGAGCCCCGTCCTCACCTGGTGTGTGACTGCAGAGAGCAAAATCAGCACGTAGGCTGTTGTCATTGTGACGGTGGCATGGAGCTTCCTCGTCCGCTGGCCTCTTAGGCTTCTTAGTGAGCTGTGTGAAGAACGGAGAGGGTTTCCATTGGCCGATGCTTCTGCATTGTCTTTGGGAGATTGTGAAGGAAGTCATTCGCCACAGCACCTGACGTCCCCTGCAGAAGAAGCCACAGAAGAGAAGTTGCTCTCTGACCATAGACTTGGGCAAAGCTGAGCCCGTCCTGCCCGTGCAATATGGGTACATTTCTGTCTAATGCGCTAGGGGCTACAGAGCTGGATCCACCGCTCCGCTTCGGCACACACATGTGATTTTCTGATGCTTGTCTGCGTGCATGGCCTAATACCTACCTTTATTTTCCTTTGCCCATTTACCTTCATTCCTTTCTCACTACCTGTGTCTGCCTCTGTCTCTTCCTCTCTTCTCCCTCCCTCCCCTTCTCTGCCTCTTTCTCTGTCTCTCTCTGTGTATATCTCCCTCCTTCCCCCCTTCCTTTCCTTTTCCCTTCCTGTGTGTATCTCTCCTCTCTCTTCCTCTCTTCCTCTCTCTCTCCTCCTCTCTCTCTCTTCCTCTCTCTCTCCCCCTCTAATACACGCATGCATGCGCACACACGTGCACACACTCTAATATATACATGCACACACTCACACACCTTTCCCATCTGTATCCTCTTTTTATGGTAGCATTTTTATAAAACCTCCTCAAATCATTAGTGAGAAGAGGCAAATATTCATCTATACTAATAAAAGGGTAATATGCTAATTAGGGCCCATGTCTTCCGGACTTCCATTCGGCCAAAGCCACAGAGGCTCAGACAGCTGTGAGGCCTGGGGCTCTGGCAGCCATGAGCCCCGGCAACTGCAAGGTGCGGAGCTCACGGCAGCTGCCCAGGGCTCATGGCAGCCATGGGCTCACAGCAGCTATAGTCTCAGGCAGCAGTGAGCCCCAGTGGCTGCAAGGTCCAGGGCTCAGGCCTCGCAGCCACCGCTGCTAGCAGTGGCGGCAGCAGCCGGGTGATGGGGGCAGCACCGTCCCCTGATCAGCCCAGTTGCCTCCTGCAGAGGAGCGGGCCTAAAACCATCAGTAGGACATCCCCTGAGGGCTCCTGGACTGAGAGAGGAGCAGACTGGGCTGAGGGCCCCCTCCTTTAGTAAATACATAAGATAGTGACATTGAGTCTCCTCCTCACCAGTTTGGAGAGTAGTGCTCCCAAGGTTTTCTTTGGAAAAGAAAGTAGGATCCAGAGGTTTTCTTTCAGTGTAGTCTATTGAGCTGTCACTTGACCACAAAAGAGCTTCAGCAGGTTCAGGCTTCTTAGTGCAATAGGAGTTTGAATTCCTGGAAGATGATCAGCTCCTAAAAGGATGCCTTGAGGGGCCCCTGTCATTTTTGTCTCTCAGAGGCCTTTTGTCTCCACCTTTTCTGGTTACTGTTGTTTCCTGTGTGATACAAGCCTATGTCTCAAAAAATAATTTCCTGAAGGGCAAACGGTACTGATATGAAATCCATCTCAAACCTGACTTTTAAAAAAGCATCTGGAGAGCATGCCTCACAGATTCCTGGACCCTGCCCCAAAGATCCTAATTCAGTAGGGCTGGTGTGGGGCCCAGGAACTTGGCTTCCTAACAAAGCTTCGGGAAGGTGAAGCTGCTGGTCCACAGAGCCAGCTCCGAGCCCTGGCAAGGGACTCCTTCCAGCCACGTGGAGATGGTTCTCTAAATGGTCTTTTGTAAAGCTTATCAAAAGCCTTTTCTAAGGTCTAAATCGAATCAGTTTCTCTAGTCTATAGCCCCTTCACCTTGCCATGGTCACTCCATGACAAGTTTAGTAAGCACAGAGGAGCTGATTATATGAATTACAGCAAACCTGTCTGCTGTCAGCGGGTACCCAGCCTTCTATCAACCACCCAAGGCTGGGACTTGCAGGTAACTGATCAGCTAAGGCAGTTGGCCCTCGATCCTGCAGACTGCTGCTGGACAGGGCCATGCTGCCACCAGGAGGAGCAAGGCTGGCCGGCAGCCCTGGGCGGACACCTCCACCTGGCTTTGGGCTTCCTGTTTTGTCCTCACATGTGAAAGCAGCTATCATTGAGGACTAAAGGGGACATTTGGGCTTTTAGGCACACTATACTGAATTTATGGAGGGAGGAGGAGATTGTGTACTAGAGTCAGGGGTCTTATCACATATAGGACTTCATTAGCATCTTGGGTTGTCAGACGTGGCAACAGCAACACTAACAGTTGAGTGATATGTAACAGGCAATCAAGCTTTGTTTTATTCAGCCTCAGAGCCACCGATAAGGCAGAGGAGCGGGCCTAAAACTGGTTTTAGGCCCGCTCCTCTGCCTTATCGGTGGCTCTGAGGCTGAATAAAACCCATCTTGTAGAGTCTCAAGCAGGCTAGAAAAGATCAAGTACTTCCTACAGGTGGCAGAGGCAGAAAGGATTCAAACCTGTGCCTCTCTTTCTCCAAAGCCCATGCTCATAACCACTAAGTCTCTCTCACCTTCTGCATCAAGGATTCTGTTGTAGTTTGAGCTTCTGCTTTTTCCACTGGAATTATGAGATTTCCAAAATAGAAGCAATTCATGAACAGAAATGCAGCAATGTGAAGTTAATACTCCATGGTGGTCTAGAAACCCACAATATGAAATGATCTGCCTTTTCTCAAAGAGCAAGAGCTCCAAGAACATTTTTCCCCAAAAATGAGTGGGGAAGACCCACTCCACAAGGACCCACAACACGAGCATAAAAGGACCTTTTGAAAGAAGCAACAGAAACCATCTACCATGTCATCTTGAAATAACTACCAACTGTGTCTCACAAGTTATGTAGAAAAAACAAGGCTATTGGAGTCTAATTCGATAAATCCAAAGTGATGCCCTTTGGAATGGTCCATTGATGTGTTGCATATTTTTCCTTACTGTACCCCTGGCTGGCTATTTTTATTCCTTCCTGAAAGCCAAGGAAGGAAAGCCCTGAGAGGCTTGGTAATGTCCCTGGCTCTTGAGAGTTATGAGTGTCTGGGCTGTGAGTAGAACCAGCTCTGCCCCCGACTCTGTTCTCTTTCCCTCCCTGCCCCCCTCAAAGTATTCCTATTACTGTCTGTGCTGCTCCCAGTTGGACTTCAGTGCCTAAGTCATCTTCATGGCATAGTCACCCATGCCCACCACCCCGAGCAGCCTGCTACCATTTGCATGTATACCCTGCCTAGCCTTTATGTTTGTTTCAGCACAATGATACTAATACAGACCATCTTGGAAATGCACCTAATATCCAATAATGTATCATAAACATCTTTTTATATCATTAATGCAAAAACATCAGTTTAATGGTTATCTAGAACTCTTTTGTACCTCTCTTCTGGTTCCACGTGCTTAAAACAAATTTTTAGGAAGGCTATCTTTAAAATTAGGTCACTGTTGCCTAGCCAGTGTGACTCAGTGGTTGAGCATCGACCTATGAACCAAAAGGTCATGGTTGGATTCTGGGTCAGGGCACATGCCTGCATTGCAGGCTTGATCCATAGTAGGGGGAGCATGCAGGAGGCAGCCAATCAATGATTCTCTCTCAGCATAAATATTTCTATCTCTCTCTCCCTCTCTCTTCTTCCCTGAAATCTATAAAAATATTTTAATTGTAAAAATAAAATTAAAAATGGTCACTGTCACTTTGCAAAGCAAAATTACAGGTCACTTTGGGGTAGTAGGTTTTAAATAGTAAAATGGCTCTGGTGTCTCTGACTCACACAGAATCTGTGGGAAGGTTGTTTTGTTTTCTACAAAGGTAAATAAATAAAGCCCTGCAGGCAAGCACATGATGTCGAGGGCACTAGTCCTGGACTGGCTAGGAGAGAAGTGAGAGCTGTGGAGGGGATGCCGGTATGGACCAGAAATCCCAGCCAACCCCTCCTGACCAGGGGGGGCCAGCAGGTGTATCTTCCTGTTCTGTGGGTCTGACCCAAATGTCTTTTCTCTCCCCAGCAAATCCGCCCATGGCCGCCGCTGTGGTGTCCTACTTCAACGACTGCCCGGATTCCCACAGTCAGTTCTGCTTCCATGGAACCTGCAGGTTTCTGGTGCAGGAGGACAAGCCAGCATGTGTGTAAGTGTCCCCTGGGATCCTGGGGTTCTGGGGCCGGGGGCAGCCGGGAAACAATTCAAAGAACATTTCCCTCCACGAGACTCCTGGAGCCTGACATGTTGGAGGATCCAAACCCAGCTGATGTAAAAGCCACGTTCCAGGGCCACAGTCCAGAGTTACTGAGGCAGAACCCCCAGGGAGCCGGGAGCCTGGGGAGCTGCATTTTAACAAGCATCTCAAATAACTACCTGATTCAGCGAAGTCTGAAAATTCCTGGGTTCAAATTTAATTCATAACATAGAAATGTTGGACGGCAAGGCACTGGGTTGGGTCTTTAGAGTAGCCAGAGATTCTAAGATGAGGACTTTGCCCTGTAGCATCTTTACATGCAGCTAATAAAATAAATTGTAAAGAATACCTGAGCCCCTCCCCAACCTCTTGAATCAGAATCTGTAGAAATTCGACCCGGGAGTCACATTAGTTAAGAGCCACCAGCCATGGTCAGCCGGACCAGGGGAGAAAGGCTCAGGAAATCTTCCCAGAGCAGGTGTTGGCGCTGGGGTGGTGGGGAGAACAGAGAGGTTACTCCAGGCTTGAGTGTCAGAGACCTGCTCTTACAGGTCTGTGCGGCTACAGGAGGGAGGAGATGAGGCTGAAGATGAAGGGGAGGCCAGGGCCTGTTGGAAATGAACCTTTATTCTGGAGGCAGTGGGAGCCGTCAGTTTTGGAAAGGGATATTTTAAGAAAACTAATCTGTCCATACTAGAAAACTGTTAGGTGGCCTTATACCCAACATGGGCACTATTGGTTTTTGGGGGCTGGATAATCCTTTGTTGTAGGGGCTGATCTGAGCACTGAAGGATGTTAGCAACATTCCTGGCCTCTACCAACCAGATGCCAGCCAATAGCACCACCACCCCATAGTCATGACAATAAAAATGTCTCCAGACATTGCCAAATGTCCCGGTGTGGGCGGCAAAACTACCCTTTCCCCCCTTAAGAACCACCCATCTATATAAAGTTACCATTCTAAAGGTTGAAAATGGTTGAAAGCAAATTCAATGTAACAGTAGCAGTAAATAATACTAAGTGTTAATAAAAGCTAGCATTTGTTGAGCTTTTGTTCAAGCTAGTCACCATTCTAAGCACAATCTGTGTGTTAGCTCATGCAAACCTCATAATGATCTCATAATGTAAGCACAGACAGACTGAGTCCATAACCATGATGCTTAAGAATATCAAATGCGCTCCCAGACTCCTTTGCCCCGCTCACCTTACTTGTACCCCTGGAGTGAAGAGAGGCCCCAGTTTTGAGTGTTGTGTGACAATAACAGTGTTGTGTTACTGGTGGTCATGTTGATTAGTTGAAGAGAATAAAGAGAGTAAGATTATATATATATATATATATATATATATATATATATATATATATATATATATATATATCAAATGCATTAGCCAGGAGAGCTGTGGCAGTAGTCAGTGAGTAGTGGTTGGCAGGGTTTTCTTCCTCCTGAGTGCAGCTGTGTGAACTGAGCAGGCCCCTTGGGGTGCCTCCAGCCTCACCTGGAGAGGAACACTGGCCACCTTCCTCCTGGAGGAAGACTGTGTGAGGCTCCCAGGTCATGTCCACAGAGCTAGGAGCCCTTCCCACCCTATAAATACAAAGCACAATGATGATAATAGTCACAGTCATTATTCATTATTATCATTCTTATTAAGGTACACAGAGGGGCCCCTGGGGGACTGATGGGATTGTTTTGTTAGCAGCCTGGTCATTGTGGAAAAACACTGGCCCTGGAGGAAGCATTGCCTCTTGGCCCAGATATCAGGAGAGCTCCCAGGACAGCAGGTAGAAGGCCTTCTCCCCTCCAGGTACCAAGGCAGGACCGCAGGAGGCTGCCCCTGGCTGTGCCTTGAGAAGATCATCTTTAGGGAGAGAGGGCAAGTCTTTGTTGAGTTCTGATCCATTGTGTCCAAAGCTCAGTTTTTTCCTTCCCACCAGATCAGGGGCAGGTGTATACTTTCTGAGAGCTGGCAGGCTTTAGCCTGGGTCAGCAGTTCAGCCAAAGTGATAACCTCATGTGTAGCTAAGACCCCTATCGCTGGAGGAAGCCTTCTCTTATTCTCCTCAGTCTGGATCCCAAACCCTGCTCCTGACCCAGGGAGATACTTGTCCATCACATTTACACACCATGACATTGCTGTTTCTTCTCCATTCACATCACAAATATTACTATGTAGTAATCTCTCAATAAAAGCCATAACTAGCCCTAATCAGTTTGGCTCAGTGGATAGAGAGTCAGCCTGCTAACTGAGAGGTCCCAGGTTCGATTTCGGTCAGGAGCATGTACCTTGGTTGTGGACATGTCACCGGCGGGAGGTGTACAGCAGGCAGCCGATTGATGTTTCTAACTCTCTATCCTTTTCCCTTTCTCTCTGTAAAAAAATCAATAAAATATATATTTAATAAATAAATAAATAAATAAATAAATAAATAAATAAATAAATAAAAAGCCATAGCTAGTTCCATGCATGGCCACAGCATACCACATACAGTGGCTGATAGAGTCCTCACAGCTTCCCTTTCAAGTAGGGATTCTTGCTCTTACTTTATAAATGAGAACACCAAGCCAGCCCAGGGGTTGTAAGCAACTTGCCCAGAGTCCCAGGGCTAATAAGTGGTAGAGCTGGGAACCCAGTGGTCAAATCCAACCCCAAACCCGTGTTTTCAGCCACTGCCCTGGAGGGCACACCCCCTCAGCCTCACAAAGTTCACCTGAGATCACTAATCCTGGTTTCCAGGAAAGGGGCTGGCGCCTTCCCCCTGCAGGTAGACCTTCCTCCAGAGAAAGGCCGGAGTCATTTCCCAGCTGGTTGACCTGATCACAGACCGACCCCTAAGGAGTCCTTTCTGTGGCCCCAGTGGTGGGTCTATGGAAACAGCCAGGACAGTTTTGCAGTTGGAGAAAGCTGATCTTCTGTGGGAAGGTACAGCCATGCAAGCAGTGACCACCTCTTTACCTCAGTTTCCCCCACTGAATCTTGTTGGCCCTCACCCCACAGACGTGGTTTATGTGGCAGTAAATGACAACCCACATTGTTCCTTGGTGGTTTTACTTAGCTGTCAGCATTTTGGAAGTCTTGTTTTCCATCTCTATGCAGAAGCCCAGCATCTCTAAATAAACACAGGGCTTGCCCTCTCCAGTTCTCCGGTCTCTAGTTCTCCGGTCTCCACTACGGGAGCTTGTAAGCTCGGTGAAGACAGGACCACACCTTATGCCTGTTGTATTTACGTACCTAGAAGTTGTTCTCGTTAATCAGTTCCCACTAGACCAGAATCTCAGGCCATTGGAGAAAGCAGAACATTCTGTCCCTGATCTTAAGACCTGCCCCAGCTTTGAGGAGCTGACAAATACATTCTGGTCAATAAAACTGACAGACCTCGAAGTAAGACCTCATCTTTCATGGCCTTATAAAGAAAACCCACAGCGACCCAAGATCATAGTCTCAAAAGAGGGAGTTCTTTCTACAGTACTGTCATCCTTAAGCTTTGTATTCCATAAGACCAACAATCTTTAGGTTTCCAGAGAATCTCAAGTGACCCCTCACACTAAACTATGAGGTCAAGCAAAGAAGTTCAAACAACTCGTCAGAGATAGCCAAAGGTAGTGAAAACTGGCCTTAAACATTTGTGCTTCAGATGAACCCTAGATTGTATTTTATGTCTCCCTTTAATAAAACTGCTGGGCCCTAACCGGTTTGGCTCAGTGGATAGAGCATCGGCCTGAAGACTGAAGGGTCCCAGGTTCGATTCCCGCCAAGGCCATGTACCTTGGTTATGGGCACATTATATATATGGAAAGAGGGTGTGCAGGAGGCAGCTGATTGATGTTCCTCTCTCATCGATGTTTCTAACTCTCTATCCTCTCCCTTCCTCTCTGTAAAAAAAAAAATCAATAAAATATATTAAAAAAAAAAAACTCTGCTGGTACCCAGTCACATCAGGAAACAAATGGGAAAAGAATTCCCAAGACAGTAAAGCCATAGAAATGCGAGCTCAGGACTTATACATTATTTTCCCTGAGGCAAATTCCATACTGTTGGTCTGCTGCCTGCAGATGCCTCAAACAAATGAAAACAGTTGAAGGAAGCCACCCAAGCGACAAGTGACAAGTTTTAAGGGTTTTCGTGCCAGCAGCCAGTGGCAACTAGTTTAAAGTTTCTCACCTGTTCAAAACAGTTCCTCTTTCCTCTGTGACTGAACTCCCTGACAACTTTTTCACATCAAAGTGTGAAAACAAAGCCCTGTCGGCCAAGAAAAACATTCCATATGGCCCGGCCACAGCACATTCCGGTGGGATCGGAACAGAGTCAAACACCAGAGAAAAGTGATTGCTGCGTGTGACCAGGAACACAACCTCTCAATCCTGGTCTCTTGGGAGGTTTCTTGTTGGTGCTTGAGCCACTTTGTGTAGATCAATTCTCATTTCCACAGTCAGCAGGTGGTGGGCCCCCTGCCGGGTTAAGAAGTTATGACATCACTACCATCCACATGTCTCGAGAAAGTGTGTGTCCTCATTCTCTCTCTGTCTACTCTGCCAGAAGCAGATACTGAGGGTCACACACTAGGCGGGACAGAACATCAGCTAAAGGCACAGATTTGAAGGTCAGACAGACCTGAGTCTCAAGTGACTTAGCCCCACTAAGCCTCAATTTCTTTGTGTATAAAATGAGGACGTTAGTACTTCACAGGATTGTGATGAGGACCCAGTGACCATAATGCAGATTGAGCCATTGCTGTTCAAGACAAGAGACACTAACAAGACAGGCAAGGCTATTTAAAGTCTTTTGTTTCTCGGTCTCTCTAGGCACGTTTTCTTTTAAAAAATATATATTTTTTTTTTTTTATTGATTTCAAGAGGAAGGGAGGAGAGATAGAAACTTTAATGATAAGAGAGAATCACTTATTGGCTCCTCCTGCACACCCCCTACTGGGGATTGAGCCTGTAACCCAGGCA